TGGCCCGCCCTCCTCGTCCGCAGCTGTCGGGGCGGCGGCGCATTGGCCCGTGCGCGGTGGCGCCCTCTCCTGGCAGGCGGCGCACCCTCCCGTGTGCCGTCGTGCCTTCTGTTGGGCCGTTGGCCGCGTTCCTTTGGCCAGTGTCGGGTCCTCCCTTCGTCTTCGGGTCTCTACTGGCTTCTCGAGGCCAACGCCTTGGGGGGCGCCATGGGTCCCACTCTCTCGAGGTGCCGGCTGTGGACTGGGCTGCGGAGCCAGCCCGGGCGTTGGTTAAGAACGCTCTGCTGTTGCTTAGGGTCGCTCAGCGCGTTCCAGTCGCAGCTCTCTGTGGGTCCTCCTGGGTGCCGCGCTGGCTCGCGAGACTGCTCTGCTGGTCCCGCTCGTGGCTCTGCTGGCGCTCTGGGAAGCACCGCTCGTTCTTCGGGTTGTCCTCGGAGGCCCGGTTGGCGGCGAGTTGCCGGTCTTCGCTGGCCTCGAGCGGCTGGCGGGGCTGCTCCGGCGGGCGCGCGACTTCAGGGGAGGCGACGTCGCCGCAGGTGCAGATTATGGGGTCGGTGGCGATGTGGGCCCGGTGGGCCTGGGTCCCTTGCTGCATCTCCGCCTCGAGGCCATCCAGCGTGGTGCCGATGCTCTCGGTGACCAGCGACGCGGCAGCGAAGGCTGGCAGGAGTGCTGGTGCCTCTTTTTGTGGAGGTTGGCGGCCTTTGGCTCGCGGGCCTGCAGTGCTGCAGTCTGGCCTGTCCCTGGGAACGATTATTTGATTATTTTTGGCCATTTGGGGGTATTTTTGGGGTATTTTTATTTTTTCGTCCAAAATCCCCCCGTAGGGGGACATGCCCGACCTAAGCCTGTGGCCCGTGGGCCGTGGTCATCTTGTGGCTCGTGCCGGGTCCTCCCCCGTCTTCGGGTCTGCTGGCCCCTCGGGGCCAGCGCCCCGGGGGGCGCCCTCGGTCCTCCCCCCCTCTCTCGAGGTGCCCGCTTGTGGACTGAGCTGCCCAGGCAGCCCTGGCCTGCTCCCCGTTGCGCGGCAGGTGGTCGTGGGGGTTCCTTTGGTACTCGTATGTAGCCCTGCTGGTTCTACTCGGAACGCTGCTGGTCCCAGTCGGAGCGCTGTTGGTTCCAGTAGGAGTTCTGCTTGTCTCGGTTGGCGCTCTGCTGGTTCCAGTCGGAGCGCTGCTTGTTCTAGCGAAAGGCCTGCTGGGCGCTCGAGTCGTTGCAGTCGCGGCGCTGCGTGCTCAAAAGGAGGGCAGGCTCTTTGGTGCAGGCAGTCCTGCGAGTCGCGGCCCACGCGTGGTGGCAGTGTCTCGGCGAGTCGCGGCCCACGCGTGGTGGCAGTGCCTCGGCGATGTGCCGGTATTCTCGTAGCCATTGCAGCCGAAGGCGCTGGCGCAGGTCTCGTCGCCGCGCGTGGGTCCTGCAGTCGCGGGCTCCAAGCCGTTGGCCATTGCGGGCGCCGCGCGTGGCCGCCCGCCTCCGCTTGGGCCCCTCCCCCGCCCCCTCGGAAGGAGCCAGGCGGGAGGAGAAGCGGCCTCCTCCTCCTCCTCCTCCTCCTCCTCCTCCTCCTCCTCCTCCTCCTCCTCCTCCTCCCCCTCCTCCTCCCCCTCCCCCTCCTCCTCCTCCTCCTCCTTCTCCTCCTCCTCCTGCGCCTGCTCCTCCTCCTCCTCCTCCTCCTCCTCCTCCTCCTCCTCCTTCTCTCCCTCCCCTCCCCCTTCTCCTCCTGATCCTCCCCCCGTGCTTCTCCCCGCCTTCCGCTCCGCGTCCGCCCCTCCTCCCTCGCGGGGATCTCCAGAGGGCCCTGGAGGTCTGAGGAGGTCCCTGCTGGCTTCGGGAGTCGGAGGTCCACACAAGCGTCCCGATTTCTCCGCCCTCCTTCTCGTCGTCCTCCTCCTCCTCCTCCTCCTCCTCCTCCTCCTCCTCCTCTATCCTCCTCCTCCTCCTCCTCCTCCTCCTCCTCCTCCTCCAGTCCCTGGCAGGAATCTGCCCTTGGAGCCTGGGTGTTAGCGGTGCACTGTAAAATCCTCCTTGTCCTCTTCCTCTTCCTCCTTGTTGACGTTGATCGGACTGCAAGAACGGGTCTTGCAGCGTTCCTTCCTCCTCCTCCTCCTCCTCCTCTGCTCCTCCTCCTTCTCCTCTCTCATCTGCTGCTGTTCCTCTCTCTCTCTCTCTCTTTTTGTCTCTCTCTCTCTCTCGTCTTTGTCTCCTCCTCCTCCTCCTGCTCCTCCTCGTCCTCCTCCTTCTGGTCTCTCTGTCTCTCTCCCAGACGAGTCGGCTCCCCCCCATGCTGGTCACCGTCCAGGGTTCCAGCTGCAGCATTGTTCCACGCGCACAGGTCACGCAAAGGTCGGGCCCCCTTGTTGTCTCGAGGCCCTAGTGGGCCCCCCCCGTTGTGTGTGTGTGTGTGTGTGTGTGTGTTCCCCGTCCTTTTGTATCTCTTCCGTAGCTTTTCGGCTTTGCGCGAGGGAGCACGTTGTTGACTTTGCTTCTCTGCGTCGGGAAAGAGCCCATCCTCGTCTGTTGATCTTTGGGCCCTCATGTGCCACGGGTCCTGGTAGCTGTGACAGTGGTAAGCGGAGCGATGCCCGAGAGATCAGACGAGGAGGGGGACCTGGACGCGGAACGCTAGGGCCAGCGGGGCACCAACGCGCAGGAGGAGGAGGAGGGGGGGAGAGGAGAGGCGACACCAGCAGCCGAACCAGATGCGACGACGACGACGACTTCCTGGGAGTGGGTGCGTAGGGATCGAGCCTGGTGGACCTGGAGATGGTGGGACTCTTGGTCGGACTCAGACTATCAGGACTGGAATGCTAGCAAGTCGAACGTCAGGGACGGATCCTGGGGCCAGGCACCGAACAGAGATTTTGGAGCGCCACCTCCGTGGCTTCGAATCGACAACTTGGACACTTTCCGGAACAATATCGTGGCCTGGACTAAACGGACAGGGTTCGTGAGGGGACCTGTGCGAGACGGATTCTCGAAGGATTGCCAGTTGAAATGCAGATCAAGTTCAAGACCGTACGAGCATCTGTGGATCATGATGAAGGGGTGCAGCGCCTTCTCGATCACCTTGCCCTACTGGCGGGGGAACGGCCAGGCGACAGAGAACGTCATGCCCGTAATGCTGCTCTGTTTAACTACATGGTGAAGAAGCGAGAGAGTCTCAACGAGTATGTGCTCAGGCGTGACGCAGAAGTGGGAGAGGCAAAGCGTTTTTCGTTAGTAGTTCCAGATGCGGTCAAAGCGAGATACCTCGAGGAGGGAGCCCGATTGAGCGCCCAGAATCGAATCAAGATGCGTACGTTGGCTGGTCGACGCTTGGATGTCGCTTCGATCAGACCAGCGATCCTGAAGCTAGGTATTTGAGAAGATCATGATGTGTTTCCTACCTCGGACCCCACGCTGATGAAGACGCATGCAGCCGAGGTCCCGATTCCTTCTTCGGCGGGCCCCACAGAAGGTTTAGACGACGACGAGGCCCAATAAGTTTTCCTGACGGAGCTCGACGATTCAGTTGAGGTACCCGAGGATGATTCCGAAAGATTTCTGTCGGCGTTCGAGGATCAGGACCTGGGGGAAGTTGAGGCGCTTCAGATTTTTGCCGCGGTAGTCGAGGACAGGCTGGGGGAAGAGAAACGACGTGCGTTGGAGGCCAGACGCCTCGAGGCAGCTAAGAAATTGGTCCAGGACTTCTTCGATGGGAAACGATCCTCTCGACCGGGTTTCCGTAGGGTGATGGTCTCGGATATCAAGCGACGCACCAGGTGTGCGAATTGCGGAGACAGGGGTTATTGGGCAGAGGCATGTAAGACACGTTTCGGAGCAAAACAGATCGCGTGGAAACCGAGAAGACTCGCAAGACAGACGGTCCGTTTTTTTTTTTTTTTTTTCTTTTTTTTTTTTTTTTTTTTTTTTTTTTTTTTTTTTTTTTTTTTTTTTTTTTTTTTTTTTTCTCTCCTTTCTGGGGGGGGGTGAGTTTTCTGCCCGATTCAGAGAATTTCACCTCGTTCAAGTGCCCCCATCGAGTCTGGGTTCACCGCCATCGACGTGGGAGACTGTAATGGCCGCTTGAAGGCCCTGCAGGTTCCCAACGAGCTCTCGCTGAGACAGATGGGCGACCGTGTGCACGTAGACACGGCCGCTTGAAGGCCCTGCAGGTTCTGAACGAGCTCTCGCTGAGACAGATGGGCGACCGTGTGCTCGTGGACACGGCCCTTTGACAGGCCTTCATAGTGCAGGGGGATCTTCGGGTTCTTCGGGGGTCCTTCGAGCGTCGGGGCTTCCGCGTGATTGAAGGTGGGTCCAGTTCCCAGAGCCTCGGCCAGTGGGGTTGGAGGACGTGTCGACCCGGTCGCGAGGGCATGGGGTCCGATCAGTCTGTGGGGCTGCAGCGTGATCGAGTTCCTCGTTCTACCCCATCGATGCACCCCTCTCTTCTTCCCATTCGAGTCCTAGAGTTGATGGGTGCGGTGATAGACCTCAGCAACGACGAGATCGTGCTGGGATGTCGCGAAAAGGTCCGGAGGCCACTCGTGCGACGCGTGGCAGGGCACAGGTCGGTGTGTCTGGTCCACTGTGGCCCAGAGGAGTTCTCGCTAGACGAGAACATTCTCAGCCGGGTGCCGGAGGGAGCCCGCCAGGACCTGAGGGGCCGGGGGGCAGGTAGGAGAGAGCGCTCAGTCAGCCTCCTTTCCGCTCCTTCTGTGGTCGAGCGTGAGCGTCGGCCCCAGACACCAGCAGTCCGAGACTCGGGGTCGCGCTCCGTAGTTGTTTCGGATCAAATGCGCATCTCTGGAACCCGAACCCCGGGCAGCGGTCGTGGTCAAGAAGCCCGCCAGCCTTGAGGCGTCCATCTCGAGGCCGCGGAGGCGCCCAGCAGGGCTTCTTCGATCCGGCAACGTGGATTTCGAGGGCGACAGGGAGGAGATTCCGGAGGAGCTTCAGGGGTCGACCTCTCGGAAGAACAGCTGGATCCAGTGGAGATCGAGCAGTTCCACCTGGGGGAGATGCTCCTCGACCCGGCGATCGCTCGATGGAGGGGGTGCTGTCTTCGTTTGCATCGCGCTGCCGCGAGCTGCCTTCGGATATGCGGAGTAGCTCTGATGTGGCCGCAGGCAATCGAGATGAAGTTCACCGACCAGGGGCACTGCCCGCGTTCGCCGTTGGCCGTCAAGGAGGCCTCGAATGCCGCGTGTGTCTACTCTCGCTGCCAGATGTGCAAGATGCGCTTGTCTGTGCGGGACAAGGCCCCAGAGGAGAAGGCAGTTGCCGAGGCCAAGAAGTTCGCGAAGCAGGTCAAGAAGGAGGTCGGTCTGCAGATGAAGATGGAGGACCAGGAGAGGATAGCTGCCTACAGCGGTGGTCCAGGGGGCTCGTGGCGGGCGCAGCGGGCGCCGCGCGACCCGCCTCCGCCGAGGGCGCCAGGTCCGAGGTCTCTAGCGGCAGGGGCGACGTCGAAGTCTTCTGGGGCGGCCAGCGGCATGGCCCAGGAGGAGGCCGCTCTCCTTCTTCATCAGCGCGGCGGCCATCTCGAGCCCTCGCTGATACCGCAGGGACTCCCGCCGACAGCTTTCAAGAGCCCTCCGGCCGGTCTCGAGAGGAGGGGGGGGGCGCCAAAGAAGCCTCCACCACCGCTTCCGGCAGTGCAGATGCGGGCCATGCTCGATCAGATGAACCAGATGGCGGAGCGGCTCGCCTCGGCCCAGGAGAACCTGATGGCAGTCGCGGCGGCCGTGGCTCCAGCGCCTCTTTTGAACGAGGACATCATGAGGACGCTCTGGCACTCCGGCAGGCGGACGAGGCCCAGAAGGCCCTCGACGACGAGGGCAGCCCGAAGCCGTTCTGAGCACTTGGATGTCTTTAGACGCCTGGCCAGAGATTCATCAAAGGAAGGGGGTCAGGAGGCTCGGATCCGGATCAGAGACCCAGTCGATCGTCCTGCGAGACGCGGTAGTCCAAAGTAACCGAAATCGCCGCGCGTCCTGGGAACCCGACCCAGAGCTCCCGGACGCGGTCGTGGTATCTGGGATCGAGTGGAGGGTCGATTCATCGGTCATGATCGGATCGGGGAGATCCTCGCGTGGAAACCCAGGGTCCTGGGGCCGTTCGATCAGGCGGCTTTCTGCGTTGGCTTTGCTCTGTCTCGCGCGGGGGCGAAGACTCCCAGCGCCCTTGTTCCTCGGGGGGCCCGCCGGAGAAGGGTCCGCGAGGGTGAATCCGTGCTGTGCGATGCCCTCTGGCGCCCCCTTTCGTATCCCACCCTGAGCCAGCTGGTCGCTGATAGGAAGGCCTCGAGGCCTGAGATCACACGGTGGACCTCGGGGGGCCCCTGCAGTCAGCTAGGGGGGGAAGAGGAGGAATAATTGGGAGAAGAAGGAAAGGCCCGGGAAAGAGAGGGAGGAACGCATGCCGCAGGCTTAGACGGCCCTAGCGGAAGAAGGGAAGAGGGGCGAGTCGCGGCCTTAGACGGGCCCAGCGGCCCCCGCTCGCTCGCAACTGAGGGCTCGGACGAGTCCGGCCCAATGGCCTTTGCAGCGCATGCCTCGCCCTCAGACCAGGGTGGCCTCGATCGGCCAGGGGTGGGGCCCTGCAGGTGGACTCCTTCGTCACTCAGCGCCTGGAGGAGCAGATTGAAGAATTGGAGGTCCCATTAGTTCCCCGGGAGGTTCGACAGTCGGTCCTGGAAGCTCTCGAGGGATCCGGAGTCCCTTGGAGGCATGCGCACGGGAGAAGAATCATCCAGGAATCTGAGCGTCGCCGAGGGGGGGCCGTTCATCTGGAAGTCTTCTCTCCGTATCGGGTCTCCCCCCTCCTCGTGAAGAGGGGGTGTCGCGTCTCCCAGGCGGTCGACAGTCAGACAGGCTGGGGCCTTGTATCATCGGAAGGTGTTCAGAAGCTCTGGGCCTTGATTCAGAAAAGGGTCAACCCCGCTGCATATCCACGTCTCTGGTGTGCAGGGCTCCCAGCGTCGCCCTTGCCAGCAACTGGGGAATAATGGAAGTATCAGAGGGGTCAGGTCGAGAAGAAACGTCTTGCGTACATGCGTCTGTGCTGCGTGATAGCTCGGTTCAATTTGGCTTCAGGTAACGATTTGGTTCTTGGTCGCCCGCAGTCAGCCAGCTCTTGGGATCTCGAGTGCGTGATGCCAATCGCGTCTTCGCCTGGGGTGGTTTCCCGGATTCTCGACCAGTGCGAACGCGGTCTTTCAGTTTCCCCCGGAACGGTCTCGAATAAGCCGACTCGGTTTACGGACAGCTGCGCGTCTCTCCTGACCGAGTGTGGGAGGAGGTGCAAGGGGGAGCATGATCGTTTACCGATGGGGGAGGGCAAGCAGGCTGGCTTGTTTCGCGGGTGAAGCCTCGGTTCGTCGGAATCAGCGTGCTAAAGTGGGCCTGCTCGCCTGGCGTTTCCAGAGGTTAAAACGGATTGTGGCCAGTGCCATTGCCGCGGAGACTTTCTTTCTGGCAGGGGCCCTTGCTGGGGCCGAGTGGTTGCAGATCTTCTGGCGCGACGTCGTCATTGGGGGTGTCGCTCGACCGGATTGGGTCGCCTCTCGGGTCCGTTCTCGTTGATCTTGTCACGAGAGTGCGAGATCGGGGATGCCGCTCCTGCCTCGTCTGCGGTCGATGCAGCGGGTGTTTTTGACGCGCTGTCCAGGAACAGCGCAGGCTCCGGGGCTGATCGTGGGAATGCCATCGAGATGGCTGTAGTTCGCGACTCGTTGGCGAACGTTGGTTCGCAGCTTCGGGCTCCTGCCGCGAATTCCTCGACTAAGGTTGATCCCGCGAAAGGAAACGCCGCCCTTCGCGATATTCTCACAAGCTGCTCCTTATGTTTGATAGATGAGGACGGCCGCTGCACAGAGAGAGCTTTGAACCTATCATGAAAAGTCCCGTGCGTCTCGGAGAGCCCTGTGAGAGCACTCTATAAGGTCAATTCCCTGAGAGAGACGGTTGAGGACGCGGGGGGAAGGAGAAGTTCAGGAGGAAGGAGGTGAAGAGGTGAGGGGAAGAGATGAGGAAGGAGGTAGAGGAGAAGAGGAGAGGGCGGAAGAAGGCCCGTTCCGAGGAAGTTGGGGATTTGGAGCCCGCGTATGTGATGATGGCGGCTACCTGAGTTCGATCCACGAGAATTGGACCTGCTATTCTCTCGAGGTCCTAGTGGGCCCCCGCCTGTGTGTGTGTGTGTGTTCCACGCCCCCTTTGTATCTCCTCCGTGGCCTTAGGCTTTTCGCGAGGGAGCACGTTGTTGACTTTGCTTCTCTGCGTCGGGAAAGAGCCCATGCTCGTCTGTTGATCTTTGGGCCCTCATGTGCCACGGGTCCTGGTAGCTGTGACGCCCTCGCGGATCACCGGGTGCCCTGCGCAACGCCGCTGGTTCTGCGCCCGTGCCCCCAGGCCTTCGTGCTTCGAGCGGCCCCCCACCGGCTCGAGGTCCCTGCCGCGCCGTCAGCCCACCAGCCAACGCTGCCGAGGTCGAGCCTTGGGAGCACAACGTGCGCCCTAACCTGGGCATAGCCGACTGGGCCGCGACTCCTGGGCCGCCCTGGCGCTGGTCCTGTTGCCCGACCCTCTCGCGTGCTTTGTGCCCTGGGTTGTGCGTGAATCCGATCCCCTCGACTTCTGCATCCTCCTCCTGGCGGCTGGCGGCTGCCCGCCCACCGGGTGCGGCTGTCGATGCACCGCGCCTCGACGCAAGGTGCGCCGCGCCACCATTTGCGTCTGAGTGGCGCGGAGATGGCAGCGTACGGAAAGTCGCGCGCCGCAGCCTTCAGGAAATCCCGCTGAGGCGGGCCGCTTCCCGGCGGCCCTGGCCCAGTGAATTGGGGCACTTCCCGGCAGCCCGTTCGCCGCGCGCGCGCGCCCGCTCGCGTGTGGCGCTTCCGGTGCCGTTTGTGCCCATGCAATGCAGTTGGAAGTCACAAAGGCTACGCGCACGTAGAACTTCGGACAAACAAACGCTGCGTGCTTAAACATCACGGGCCGCAACCGCTACAAGCATTTAGAAGGGCGCAAGGTCTTTGCGCACAGAAACCTTAGAACAAAGTTCGCGTTGGAGTTATAAACAGGACACAAAATACATGTAGTATTGGATTTCAAATTCCAAGTGGCCACTTTACTTAGTATGGTCGGTACTATGGAACATGTTTCGAGCACCTTTCTGGCAAATGACAACATTCATCGCGAATGTATTCATGTATTATTTCGTGATTGAGGAATGTGTGGGCGTTTTTCCGTGGATCTGGAGAACCAAGCAATCTCCGTAAAATTGGAACATTTTTTCTCCCACATCCTAAGTGGGGTTCTTGTTTTCTCTGGACACCCACCGCAGGAGCAGGACCAGGATCAAGCGGGACCCCCGTTTTTGCTTTCGGAGCGCGATGTTGCAAGCAGAGCCAGCGGGTGCTGCCATCAGCCCCGCGACTCCAGACTGGCCCAGACCCTTCGAAGACGATCCACTTACCCTCCAAGGAACCCGGTGCCTTGCCCTGCCTCGCCGCTGTGCGATGCCATGCTTGGCGTTGCAATGCTTTGTGATGCAATGCTTCGTTACGCAATGCCACGCCATGCTATGACATTCTACGCTCTGCCGTGTTCTTCTACGCCGTGCTATGCCGTGCTCTACGATGAATCGCGCACCCCCTCGCGGTCACTGCCCTGCTCGACATCCGACTGTGCGAATAGAGAGGATATCCCCGCCATGGTCAGGGATGGGAGGGAGGGGTAGGACGTCAGGAATGACGCCAGCGCGCCTCGGTCCCCTCCCCTCCCCTCCCCTCCCCCCCCCCCCGCGGCGAGGCTATCTGGGCGTCCTCCCAGAGGCGACCCCCGTTCGCTGGGGGCGCTCTCGCCGCCCCTGGCTGCCCGCCGCAGCTCCGGCCAGCCCCCCCCCCTTGGAGGAGGACCCTCGGCGGGCGGAGGCCCGTGGGCGGCCCCGGACCGCGCGGAGGGTGCCCGGGCACGCTCCCCGGGAGGCCTTCGGCTGAAGTCGGGCCTGTCCCTCCACAGGGGGGAGTACTCACAAACAGTCAAACGAAACATCAGGGGACGATTTTTTGACCATCCTGGATTTGCCTGGGGTATCTTTCCTTCTGCGTCCCACATCCGCCTGCAGGGGGACATGCCCGACCTAACCTTCGGCGCTTTCAGGGCTCATGTCGACTCCTTCGATTCGAGTCGATTCGATTTCGATGGCTTCTGATTCCGCCTCGATTGGACTTGGGATTCCGATTTGGGTTCCGACTAATTGTTGGAAGCATGCTAGGGTGCCAATTTCCGCCGATTCGACTTTTCCCGACTCGGCTGCCGATTGCCGCCGACCTGATTCATTTCGATCGCCGATCCGACTTATCGAATCGATTCTGGGGTCTCGTAAGCTTTCTTCTCGGGGTCGGTGCAGGCAAAACCCGCAGCGAAGATGCTTCTGTTGTCTGTTTTCGTCGCCCAGGCTGCCCTTGCATCCTCCTGCCCTTTCGGCACACCCTGAGCTATAGATCCAGGAGCTGTTGGCTGGGTGCTGCCGCAGTGATTTCCACGTGTGCGTGCAGTGGTCTTGTGTCCATGCCTTGCTTTCGCATGTACTATCGGCTCCGCCTGTACAGACTCTCGACGTTTTCGATCTGTGATATGTCGTCGAGTATTTTCTCGTCTAGTGGGCTTCGCTCTTTGACGCCAGCTCATCGCAGATGGATCGTTGCTTGGGTGCAGTCAGGTCTGGAAGCGCCTGTGGAAACTCGTGGGTATACCTTGGGGCTAACATGGTAATCCAGGGTGCTTCTTGACAGTCTTGGCCATCTCTGGGGACTAGTTTAGGCCTCCCTGTGCCTTGGCTCTCCTAGTGGTTCCACTAATTTACAAACTGGAATGGGAGAGGTGAGGGGGAAAGGGGCGAGGAGGGAGGGGAGATGAACGTGGGTCCTCATCCTCCTCCTCGTTCGGGTCGTCGGGGAGTGCCTTCATCGCAAAGGCTGTATCAGAACACAGTGCAGGATGAAATGGAGGAGAGGATGAGAATGAGCTTGAGGATGATGATGATGATGATGAGGAGGAGGAGGAGGAGGAAGGAGGAAGGAGGATGGATGGGGTGAGGAGGTATGCTGATGATGATGGTGAAGATGCTGCTGCTGCTGCTGCTGATGATGATGATGATATTGTGAGGATGATGACGATGACGATGCTGTTGATGATGATGATGAGGATGATGATAATGATGATGCTGGCGATGACGATGATGCTGACACTGATGAACATGAGGAACATGATGGG